AGAGATTTGGAGCTGTGAGTTCAAATTCAGCCCTTTTTCTACCTCCTGGGACTTTGCAAAGACCCTTCTCCTTCCCCCTCTGTCTAGCAGATGGTAAGATGGAGACAGGAACTGTTGCTTGTGCATGAGGGCTCTGCTTGTGGAGCCCTGACAAAAGTGGCGGCTGATCAGCATCTGGCATTCTTCCTCCCCATTAGAGGTGCTTAATACCTTCTGCTCATCTCTCCTCCTTTTGCACTGCAAAAACTTCAGAAACAACAGTCCTGTTGTTTGCAGGACAGTCTTCCTCCCCTAGCAATAGAGGAGCAGAAGACAACACCGCACTGAGAAGCGATAAAGCCTGTTGTGGGCCTGGGGAAAATCACACCAACCTTTCCTACCCAAAGCAAATTCCATCAACAGCTAACAAGACACTTCTCAAAGGGAGCTAAAGATGAACTACTACAGAGAACAGCAGTCGCTGCATGGAAACAAGATTTGAAGCACTAGTTTACCCAGGGTAGATTGAAGCACAGTGAGCATGTGAGCAGAGGCCACTACAGCAGCTGTCTTTCACAGTTCTTCCACAAGAACCTGAGAGATTTGTCATGTCTTCTCTATAACTGCTACTTCTGCAAACCCTGACAGGCTCAAGAATATACAGTAGTTTTATCATTTTTATTTTTACAAGGAAAAAGTTTTGCTCCAAAGCTTTTCTGCTTCAGTGAGTCAGCCTGTCAAGGCAGATCCTCTTAATTCAAGGAGTGAGAAGGAAAAAAATAAAACTATTGATTTCTGATAATTAGTGGAAGAGAAAAGGTCTGATTAACCAAGACTTAGCAGAAGCTAGCAAATCAAGGTCTTCCCAAAGGAAGGAGGACACTTTTAACAGGAGACACATAAATCTTGTTTCCAAATAGCAGCTTCCTTCCTTCCCAGAGCTGCAGCAGCAGGACACAGACTACTAGTGCAGAAAACGAGTGCTGATGGTTGCAGTTCTCCACTACGGTCCAGTAGGTGAACGGCAATGCTTTCACTCAAAAATTCACCCATCATCTGGTTTCCTTCCCGTGAAGCAATGATAGCAACAGCAGCTAAAGGCAACATAAAGTGACTGTACCAGTTAAACTCTTGACAGGCTCTCTTATACAGGCCAGGGATGGAAGGAAGCTATACAGGTTCTGTAATCAAACAAAACTGCTATACAATACACCCATGGAGGTTTCAGAGACGGGTAGAATATGATATCAGACTAAATTACATCCCCAAATAGCATAACCACCTCAGCCTTGGAGAAAACAGCTTTCACTCCTTGCTTAGGGTGCAAAGCCTGCAGAAAGACTTGATGTCATGCAGTACTCTTGGTCTGGAGACTGTTAACACTTCTGGTGCTATTCTATTCACCTCCAAAAAAACCCATTAGGATACTTGATTAGGATAGATTTAAGAAAGATATGAAAAAAGATAAGAAAAAATTATGCATTAGAGTTGCAGCAAAATCTGAGCTCAACAACAAAGGAATTAAAAAACAGCAAAAGTTACATCATGATGGCAAAATTCAAGGTTGACAGGAGAGCGCAGACTGCCACCCATTTTCCCCCGTGAAACCACATTCATGACATGGAACCGAACAGCTTTTGGTATTTTCAGATTGTACCATAAAGCATGAACTGCTGGCACCTGGTATTTGCTAACAAAACAGGCTTTCAATAAAATGACTGGTGATATAATACGCAACATTCATGACTGGATGATGTGAAGTTTGGCCAGACTGAAGGTCTTTCAAGCAGAGCCTGAACGAAAAAAAAAGCGATCCCAGCGTTGCCACAAATGATATTAGACTACTGGCCTGCTCAGAGCAGTTAAAAAGGCTTTTAAAAATAGGAATAAATAATGGTTTTGTTTGTGTATAAGAGTAGGAAACCCTGCAAAATTAATTTTGCTGTATATTACAGTACTACTGAAAGATTAAAATGAAAAAGTGTAAAACATTGTCTAAACAAACCTTCTAGCGTTACTAATCTAAGTCTGTGCAACAGCATGCGTGCGAATAATGTTCACTGGCAAAATGAAATTCAGCTGCAAAAATTTTGAGATCTGATTACAGTAATTACAAATTCTACATACAAGGAATCTTGCCCATTAGCGGACTACCCCTGCAGCATTTTCATATTAGAGTTTGTTACATTCCTCCTTACAACAAGAATTGTTGCTCATAATCTGGTATTCTTTTCATGTTAAATAAATTACAATGTTCTTGGGAAAAAAAAAAAAAAACTTGTAATCAAGCAGGTCTTAAATCTTTGGAGATCCTTCCCGAAACATGCGTGGAGATAAACGTTAACACCATCAGGCATTGACTAATCAGTTAATAACAGCTCCTGCCTCAGATCTGGGAGGCTGGACATACACCGACTTGATGCCATCTCAGACCACACACCAATGATCAAAGCCCATAGCTAGAGCGTCACATTTTGGAGGAATGGAGTTCACCTTTTAGAACAGGATCTTTGGGTTTTCTGCTCTGCAGTGGATGGGGCTGACTTGATATCTTGCCTAGAACAGCTGGGGGGGGGGGGGGGTTTTTCTAACATGACATTGCCATTGTGATAAAAATAGCTTCTTATTTGCCTGCTTCAGAGGCACAATTTTAGTCAAGAAAAGGTCAAATGGTTTTGCCACAGGGGAAAAGAGCAAAAATCTTTTGTAATTTAGTATTGTTCCTTTTTTTTTTTTTTCTTTGAAGACAGGAGACTCCAGGTGCTAGTCACATAGGAGGGAGAGGAATACAGAATAGTAGGCAAGCAATATATAGCTCGTCTGCAATAGCACAAACCAAACAACGCTTTAATCGTTTCTCAACGCTCAGGAAGAACTAGTATTCACCCAGCATCTCACTAACCTCATCTCTGCTTGGAATCCTGCAAACTCTACAGACAGAGCTTGCTCAAACCTATCTATTCTGACACTGCAGAAATAAGTTATAGCTGTAGTCAAGTCTAGGACAGATGTACTTGATACAACTAATGAATGTATTTTTTTCCTTATTCCACCAGTTTACTGAATTGACATTTTCAATTACTAAGCATTAAACTTGACTTTTACCTATGGCTAGACACCAAATATACTCTGATCCATTTTGAGCCACACAGGAAAAATATCCAGTTTTAAGTCTTCAACTAGGTTACACAACATGAAGTTACTGTTACTAACGCTCAGTTAAGGGCTGTAGAAATATAATTGCATTATTTATTAAAGTTGCTTTCTAGTATTTTTCCTATGCTACCAAAAAAAATTGTGATTAGGTGACAAGTCAGCTCTATTACAAAATTTGCATGCAAGACAGGATAGATTATTTATGGTTGAACTAGAGAAGTATACGCAGCTTGGGAAGTGAAATTTCTACAAATCACCACATAAAGGTGACCCAAAGCCCAATTTATTGCTAGCTATTATTGCTTGCTTTCATTGCTTCCAGCACACTGGTAATCTACGCACATGGCAATACTTCAGTACTAATGGAAATCAGTAAACAAGGTCACACGCGTGTCAAACAGTTGCTTTGCACAATCTAAAAATACTTGTAGGTTTTGTTTGCTAGATTGGCACAGACCTTTCCTTCCGTCATCTGCACCGCATATGATGCTCACTGGGTGTAGCCTGCACCTCCAGTGTGCATTGTATGCTGGGTGGAGTACATCCTATGCAGTGGAAATAAGGGTAATAGCTGAGCCTGGTATGAACCAATTAGAAAGAAAAATAGTTACAGCAAATTTCCCCGTGGGCCATCTTCTGCAGACCACAGAAGATCTTTCAGACACTCCAAAGCAGCCTGTCTTTCCTGGGAGATACGACACATTGGAAAATAATTATTTATCATTAAATTATGTTAGAGCACGTATGCAGGATGAACAAGATAAACTGGGCATCTGACTGGGACAGGAACAGTGTGGTTATTTTGGCAAGACATATTTTAGCCTGAGGATTTAAAGTAACGGCATAATGTTACATAGCGCAAAGGGCTACAAGAAAAAAGGTGCAGTAGGTCCTCTCAGCCAGTTATCCTTTTCAGCTTAAAAAGGAAACTCTAAACTGCAACAACAAAGACTACAGCATTTATATAACAGCAGTAGTCAATACAATCTGTACAAGTGGAATGAAAGGCTCCAGCTATTAGTCCAAGCTCAGAGCAAAGCAACTCCTCTGCAGCCTTGTGTCGTGACTAGCAGAGGGATTTTGCTTTCCGCACTGCTTTATGAAGGTGGAGTCAATCTCGCCAACTAACGAACGCAACCTGACAACCTGAATCATGGGTAACATGAACAAACATCATAATGGTGTACAACACACTTAAAGCAAAACGTGCTTGCGCTGAAGTATCATTGATAGAAAAAGCAGCAGAGGGAAAAAGTGCTGAGCAGAGCCTGCATCTTCTGGCATTTTGAACTCAAGTCAGAGCTCCCCCTCCAAAAAAATTTAAATCATAAAATTTCTAACTAATCAAACATAAAATCTGTGATCTCTTTTGACTTCTGAAACTGCCTGCAAGTTCTGAATACATGAACCTTAGTTAAAAATACCAAACCGAGGATTTGAAAAAGACATAAAGAAAAGTTCAGTATTCACATAGAAACATAAACCCTGTTGCTGAAGCTCTGCAAAATATTCAATGGTTGTAACACTTTTTTGTCAAACCCCACATTAAAGATTAGCATTTTCCAACTGCCATCTGGAATTCTGTTTTTGATCTTAAATGTGTAACAGGGAAATAAAGCAACAACGCTTCTACCTTAACATCTTCAGGATTTTTATAAGAAAACAATACAGAAAACAGCTAATTATGATAACCCAGAAACAACTAAAGAAAATGAGTGTTTCAAAACGCCCCATCCAAATGCATTAGTAGTTAGAGTCTCCTCAAATTTCCATTAGTCTGTCAAAAGAAGAAATAATCTTATAGCAGCTCTGCCTAAAACTATTAAAGATTGTCACATTGATTGAATTTCAAAGTATAGACTTACAAATTCGTAGTCTCCATCCTGTGGTACTTTCCAATCAGATGAATTTTTTGTCTGGCCAGATACATTCTTCCCAAAGCTATTGATTTGATTCTCCTTCTCCTTCTGCTCAAAATATTCAAGGAATGATGGTTTGGCTGGCTGCATCGTTTCATCCCTCCCTGGAAATTTTATTCAAAACAGAAAAAAAAGTCATTCTTGAAAAATGCACTTTCAATTACATTGCCTTATACCATGCCCAACAGTGATTTCATCTTTTTAGCACACTAACTTACGTAGCGCTGCTGAAGTGGTATTTTGCAGCAGCTTTTCAAATATAAAACTCCTCCTGACTGTTAAGTGAGGAGATTGGGGAAGGGAAGCTCAAAGTTCACCACAAAAGTGACTGCAACTCTGGAGGCCTTGGCCCCTACATCTGCAAGCAGTCCACCAAAGTGCGCTGCCAGGTAACTGAACTTCATGCACTGAATGCTGCAAGTCCAGGTAACCAAACTTCATGCACTGAATGCTGCAAGTAAGCTGCTACCAACTGGAGGAGCCGTTCTTTCCTACCAGACAGGTTGCATGTATTACAAAACATGCAAGTTTCCAAAACGAAACAGCTTTATTGATCCATTTGTGCTTAAAACATGCCCTTTAGTCAATGCAGAAACTATGACTCCCAGAAAGTGGGGAGGTTTCCTTGTGGATACCAGCACTCACTGGGAATTAAATTGCACACAGGTTATCCTAGCGTTAACATAAAATGGCTTCCAAAAAGCCAAACGTAAACCTAATTCTGCACTACAGAGGTAAGTTCACTCTCAAGTGCCATATAGTTGAAATAGACCTAAACTGTCAAAGCAAACAGTCAAGCAGCTCAAAAGTCTGCAGCTTCAGAAACCCGATCACAAACACACACAATATGAGCTGTCCTTTGAATCCTTTGCTAGGTCTCCATAAGGCAGAGACTCTCACAGTCTGAATTTAGTGCAAACTTAGGTATCAGAAGAAAGTTCTCACAAAGACTTTAAGATGTTCAGCAGAGCTTTCCTCTTGCAAAAGTATTAGTTACTCTCGAAACCCATTAAGATTTAAACACAGAATAATATTCTTAAACATAACACTGCCATCCAGTGCTCCTGAACGCCACTGGCAGATGCTCTCTGGTCATTAGACAAGTGTTTGAACTCCTAGGTCAACTACGAGATAATCTAAAAAAATTATTTGTCTATAGACATGTTAAACACAGAACAAACTTTTGCAAAGTCTAAGATATCTTGGCAGGATATTTGGTTTCTGATACTGGGGGAAGCATGGTTTTATACAGTCTGAAACGTCAAGAGGAATCTTGAAAAGCGCTGTACCATGCTGCCTTCCCAGGGCTAGCTAGCTACAAGCTCAAGCATGAACTGAAGTGCTTATGCTTTTGCACCATGACAGCAGTAGGAGCCAAGACAAATTATTCTACCTCTGGCAGTAGTTTCCTCTTAAACAAAACAAAACAATCATTAGACAGAATTAGATCAAGACAGACAACTTCAGACAGACTGCATGAAGGTCAGTCAGGAAACATGTCTCTGAAGCGGAGAACAGATTTGCTACTGGGAATAATTACCGAAATACAATAGCAATCCAATTACTGCTAAGTGATAAAACATTTATTTAGAATGAAGCAAATATAACACTTGCACTCTGTTGCAGCCCAGCCTGAAGCAGGAGGTAAGTTATTAATGTTACGGCTAACCGCGGCAGTGTTTAACACAGACAAATTTTGTAAAAAAAAAAAAAA